GTGGGGACACACCAGCACAGGCCCGGCCTGCTCGGGAGGGGTTGGCGTCCCTGGCCGTCAGGCAGCGGCAGGTGTAGGAGCCCTCCAGGTTGATGCACTGGGCGGCCGCTGAGCAGTCATGCTCCAGTCCGTCGGCGCACTCGTCCCAATCTGCCGGCGGGAGGGAGACAGGGCGGGAGCCGGTGAGGAAAAGGCCAGAGGTGTCGCACCCACAGGCGTGGCTATGTCCCTCCCTCGTTTATGCTTCGTCCCCAGACCCAGGTCTGTCTGAGGGGCCAGCATCCCCCGATATTTAGTGTTCAAGAGAGAACCAGGGAAATGCTGAGCCAGGAGGCGTCCAGTTAAGCACGACGTGACCTCTCCTTGATAGAACAGAAATGGCGCTTGAGCACCTGCTCTGGGAAGCGACTCCAAGAGCACCAAAGACCCCATGTCACCGGGAAGCTCCTGACTGGGGCGAGGAGGAGTGTTAGGGAAGCCCCCCACCCCTGAAAAGCCCCCAGAGGCCCGCGGTCCGTGCGCGCCCACCCACGCCCAGTCCAGCCCTGCCTTTCTAATCAGCGGGCCGCCAGGACTCGCTTTAGGCCAAAGCGGGAAACAAAACCCATCTGGAAGGCCATTCCCTTCTCTCTCTCCTGCCCTGCCCCGCCCCACCCCTGCCCCGGACCCCTGGGACCACCATCCCCACTCTGACGGCTGCTTTAAGAAAGAATCTGGTGGTCTCGTGCATCGTGACATAGGACTGATCAACAAACGCCGCTTGTGACTCGCACAATAAACCTGAGGAATGAATTTCTCAAACTGTCTCAGAGGCTGGGAGGAGAGGGGTGGGGGCGGGTTTCCCGCGCCCCTGGAACTCCATCCTTCAAGCCAGACCCAGCCTTTGGCTGTTCCACCCCCTGTACCCCACCCCCTGGGGAGCAGGTGGCTCTGAGCCTCCGGAGTCCCCTCTGCTAGCAGGGCGAGCCAGAGCCCCGAGAAGGGCTTCCCGAGAGGGGGTGGCCTGTGAGGCCTCAGCACACAGCTGCCCAGAGCTGCGGGCAGGAGCCCGACCCATGGGCAGCAAACCCGAGGAGGTGGGCTTGGCTGGGACTCGAGTCAAGATGGGGGACGGGTTCAGCTTTGTGCAGAGACAGCTCTGCAGCCGCGAGCTCAGAGGCCCATGTTGTGGTTTCCAGTTTTGTTTCATGGGATCTCCAGGAAACAGCTCCCTCGAGACCAGCAGGCTCACTCATCAGCTGATGCAACAGTGACAGACACACCACACACACATGCACAACCAGCCTGGGCCCTTCGCACACACGGTCTGCTGGCCTGGCCCCCAGGTCTTCCTGGAGCCCTGCCGACCTCAGGCTGTAGGCAGCTCAAAGGAGCTGGGGGCTGGAGGCTGGGGATGGAGGCCGGGGACGAAGGCTGGGGACAGAGGCCAGGGCTGGAGGCCGGGGCTAGAGGCTGGGGACGGAGGCCGGGGTTGGAGCCCAGGCTGGCCAGACGGCTGGGCCTTGAGGACAGCAAGGTCCCAGCTGAGACCTGGGCTCAAACCATGGCGTACCTGGTGGCTATTTTTAATGGTGGTGACTCACCTAGCCCTGTCCCCACCCCCAGCTCGCCCTCAAGCCCGAGTAAGGCAGGGACAGCTTTACCTGGCCTCAAACAGTCCGAGGCCACACAGCCTTTAATAGGAAGCCCAGTAAAGCGGGAGGCAGGTCTGTGGGCAGTGAGAGCTGCCAGGTGGCTTCTGTGCCTCCCGGACGGGCCGGACGAGGACGGGGCCCCGTGTAGGAAGCCGTGCTCTGCTCTTTTGGGCCCCGAAGCTGGCACGGGGGTGGCCCGCCTCCCAGAGGAGGGTGACAGCCACCGCAGAGCTCCGACTCCTGGTACAGGTCCACCCCCCACCAGGGACGTCTCAGAAGGGCCAGGCTCCTCGGGGGCTCCCATGCTGTCTGTGGGTCCCTTGGGAAGGGAAGCCTGGGCCAGAACCCTCGTGTCACCTGGGGGCGGGTGTCAGATTCACGCTGGAGCGGGGAGGGGAGCATGGACAGCCTGGCGCTGTGGGCACCACGCGCAGAAGCCGGACAGAGGTCTGCACCATCGCATATGAAGGAAGAGAACCCATACCGGCAGGCCAGGTGGATGGTGACAGTCCCAGAGCCAGGCTCCCTCTGCTCACCCTGCTGTGCGGCAGGGACAGAAAGGGCCAGAGCGGATGCCGTGCCGTCAGGACCGTGCAGGGGACCGGAGGCTCCGGGGAGCACGGTTAGGTCCACTCTGATGCCCACGGAGAAGGTGGCTGCCCAGCTGGCGCTGCGGTGACCACAGGCGACCCCTCACCTCACACAGAACAATGCTGTCACTAGAGCCTTGCGAGGCTGCCGTCTGCACAGATCACTGACGCACAGAGGGTCCATGCCGAAGCCCCGTTGGTTACTGTCACTTGAGAGCGAATGAGCAGGTGGGCCCTTCCTGAG